GATAGATAGATAGATAGATAATAGATAGGTAGGTAGATAGATAGATGGATAGATAATAGATAAATAATAGATAGGTAGGTAGATAGATGATAGATGATAGATAGATAGATAGATAGATAGATAGATAATAGATAGGTAAGTAGGTAGGTAGATAGATAGATAGATAGATAATAGATAAATAATAGATAGGTAGGTAGGTAGATAGATGATAGATAGATGATAGATAGATAGATAGATAGATAGATAATAGATAGATAGGTAGGTAGATAGATGATAGATAGATAGATAGATAGATAGATAGATAGATAATAGGTAGGTAGGTAGGTAGATAGATAGATAGATAGATAGATAGATAGATAATAGATAGGTAGGTAGGTAGGTAGATAGATAGATAGATAATAGATAAATAATAGATAGGTAGGTAGATAGATAGATGATAGATAGATAGATAGATAGATAGATAATAGATTGGTAGGTAGATAGATAGATGGATGGATAGATAGATAGATAGATAGATAGATAGATAGATAGATAGATATAGATAGATACAAGGGAGGGAACAACACGAGTTAAACCTCTTTTGACCAACATGACTGAAGCAAAAACAACAGAGTTACTTACAGGTGGGAGGCGAAGGGCCTATTCCTCGTGCAAGGGCTAAATTGATTAATGATATATAAAGGCAGAGATCTCTGTAATGGTAGCTTAATACTCTGACAATGTCAGCAGAGCCTGACGAAAGCTTAGTAAGTGTAATAAAAATAATTTTAGTTCCGGAGATCTCAAGATGTCTGTTTCTTCTCTTACAAGTATACCTGGAACTCGTATTTGTAGAATAGTTTGTAATAGACAGAATTCTTTTATCAGCCAAGTGTGATTGGACACGCAAGGAACTTGTCTTTGGTGCATATCAGTGGTGGTTGCTACCCCGGTTCGGACCGGTTCACCCGATCTGGTAGTAAAAAAAGCTCCGACGATCAGCTGGGAGGCGAAAGAAGAGAAAAGCGCAGGATCGGCCCTTCCACCCGCCCTCTGCGCTTCGCTCTTCTTCCTCCTCCCAGTTGGTTGGCGTGGCAGAGCCTCAGCTGCGCTTTGGAAAGCTGCATGCGCGCGTTAGGCCAACCACGCCCAGCAAGCTGCGCCCACCGAACCAGCGGTAAAACGATTTGCATCCCTTCACTGGTGCAAATGCTCTCAGTGTCCATAAAAGAAAAGATACATTAGTCAAGGATCATCAGGTACAACACTTAATAATAGTCACAGGGTACAATAAGGAAGGAAGGA